TCACTGCACTTGGACTAGATTTTATATGGTTGACAGTTACTCGCTGAGTCCTGTTTGACAGAAAACTGAGTATCCAGCGTCCTACTTTACCGGTTATTCCCATTGACTTCATTTTGTGTGCTATCACGCCATGGTCACATTTATCGAAGGCCTTTGCGAAGTCCGTGTATATCACATCAGCATTCTGTTTCTCTTCTAATGCCTCAGTGACTTTGTCGTAGTGCTCAAGTAGCTGTGAGAGGCACGATCTTCCCGCTCGAAATCCATGTTGGCCTGGGTTATGAAGGTCATTGGTCTCCATGAAATTGGTGACCTGACTCCTAATCACTCTCTCAAATACTTTTATGATGTGCGATGTTAGTGCAACTGGTCTATAATTTTTTGCCAATGCTTTGCTCCCTCCCTTGTGTAGAGGGGCTATGTCTGCTACTTTAAGTGCATCTGGTATCTCCCCCGTGACTTGTGGAAAATAACCCCAAGCCCCAAGGGCAGTACTTACAGGGCACTTAAGGAAGGGAACCCTAAGCGCATGCAGCCCGAGCACCTGTGAAGATTACTCCCAGCTCACGCACCACCCCGAAGACAGCACTAAACACAAGGCCTAGCACTGAGACAAGAAACAGGAGCCGAGTCACACGACCAAGTCACAATCACATCAGCCGAGAACTAGAGGTGTGGGTTGCCGGCGCCAGGGGTCTGGAGCTCTCCCTTCCCCCTCCCGGTGAGGGGGGTGGGGCTGTGCAGACGGTGGCATGCCAACGTGGTGATGTCATGCTTGTTTACTTGTTTTCCTTTAGGGAGTTCTGTCTACTCGTTTGACTTTTAGTAGTAGTTTCAACCAGAATAGGGGGTTTGTTTTGGAATGCTTACCTTTCTAGGTGCCTGACCTGGTCAATGGCAGACATAGAATGCTCCAAATCACATGTGCATTAATTTCTAAAGGCCATTGCTCCTCATGCCTCTCGGAAGGGGGGGGGGGGGGGGTGGGCAGGTTCTGGCTCGTGATCCCCGGTAGGCCTAAGAACTCCATTCACATTTACTGATGCCAAAGTCTAATAGTTTTATATCAGCCTGGATAAGCTCCTGGGAGCCGAACGGGTTCCCCCCAGAAAGGGCATGTTTCTAATGTAAAATCAATTGAAACAATATATAAACATACATAAATCAATATTAAACAGAGCTTTTATCTACTAATTATGAGCAGCAAGGCTAAATTATTGTGTAATGTAGAAATTACACAATGAAAAGAAAAACTGACAAATGTTAAATATTTTAGCCGAACTATTCAATGTTAAGACCTTCAAACAGATCTAATTATATATTAACATGAGGTTTTCCAATGAAAGAACTTTAGGTTTTCCTATGTAACTAAGAACTGTTGCCTTACTTCTTACATTTACACAACCATAACCCAGCATGCTCAAGTTTCCTATTGATGCATGCTATTAACCCTTACAATCTCTATCCTCAATGTATGACAATTTCTATAGGGTACCAGTCATTATCATTAGGTTGTTTTGAGTTTTTGTCCCAGTACAAAATTTGAACAGTACCAAAGCACCCATAATTGCCAATGGCATCACCCCAGCAGTTACAAGAGACCACTTGTGTACATCAGAGGAGCTCCCTGGATATTTCAAATCCTTAAATATTGTAGAACAGGTTGATGACCATGAGTGGTGTCCCAAGAAACTGAAATGTGTCCTGAATTTGAAAAATAGGCGAGATAAAACAAATGTGCAAGGGGACGTGAAAAAAAAAATGGACAAGAAAAAGTTGCCATAGAGTAAACAGTGCTGACAAAATTAAGAAATGACTGCCGGCAGGAAAAAATCAACAAAAACACAACAGAGCTAGATTTTGGTGGATTCAATTAGGAAAGTATTAATATAAGTTCTGTTTGGACTACCAGGGGCACAAAGCCAGAACCTGGCCCTCCACTCATAGAGGCAGAGAGAGCAGGTGCCACCTGCTCTGCACCCCCCCCCCCCAGGGAAAGCATCCAGAAAATCAGAAAACCAATACAAACTGCTGGATTCAAAGAGACCAAAGCCTCAAAACTGCCAAACAGATTCCCCCAACAATGTGAAGAAACTATCAAATCTCTGGGAACTAGCATGAGTTCGTTAGTACTGCCCTCCCACCCCAACCCTCTGCCAGCTGGGTGGAGCTACAACTCCTGGCCTCCTTCAGTCCCTGACAAGTTCTAAAGCAGATATGCAGAAAACACCCACTGACCAACACCCTGGAAGGGAAGGAGAAAATATGGGAACTACCAGGGAGCACCCAGAAAACCAATGCTGAATGTAATGAAATGCCAATTTCTGGGTGAGCCCCTGTGACTGCATGAAGCTGATATGGTACAACTACTAGGTTGCATCAGCTGCAGTTCTATAGGCCTACCAGGGACCTACACCAGAACCTGGCCTCACCCTCACCATCCTAGTCGTTTCAGCATTGTCTTGGCACCTTCCCCTATATGTGGCTCCATTCCCCAATCATGAGGCCTCCACTGTGAATCCCTTTTAACTAGACTTTATCTCCATCTTTACAACCAATGGGTGGCTCCTTTTTAAGGTGCATTCCTCTTCTTGACAACAGTATGAGGTTTCATGGGTGCTCCTTTCACCACTTCCTATCCCTTCGTCATTGAGCTCCTGTTTCTGAGCATGTAGTGCTCTCCTTTCTTCCTTGGATTTTTCTGGATTACCATCTTATGTCAAATACTGTCACCTTTAAAGCATTTTTTGGTTTCTCTTGCCTCCAGTTGTTGAGTTAGGAAGCTTCATGCCCTACTCAGGAGGCGAAATTTGTTCTTTTGGCTCTGGCAGACGTTATGTTTTTTGTGGTCGACTCCTCCTTTTCTGTCAAAGAATTAGTTGGGTGGTTTCAGAAGGGGCCCTTTGGTCATTGATGCTTGGTTGGTTTGGCTGAGGGAGCATCATGTGTTGTGTCCAGTAGCAGCTCTCCACAACTACCTATGTGCCCCTGATTCTGCTTTGGTGGATGCCTTGTGCACCGATCCTGTTTCATTCATCGCCTGTTCCAAGGCTTGTACTTCCCAGGTTGTCTGCAGTGCTCTTAAATCTAGCCAGCCTGTGGTCTACCCTCGTGTCCATGACATTCAGAAGCATGCCGCTCTTTTGGCTGTTTGTGAACAGGTCCAGGGCTGATATTCGGACACGGGAGTTTTGGTGGTCAAACTGGTTCTGGCGGCCTAGTATTTAGTGCATATTCCTAGGCCTTGGTGCCCTTGGGTCGTCTCTCTCAGCTGCGGGGTCTTGTCTTTCTCCCGACTCCTACGGTGCTCTCTCCTCCCTTGTAGGTTTCTATTTTTTCTTCCTTCTCAGTGGAAAGTTAGCTTTAGGATGCCACAGGGGGGCTCTCCCCAGAAAACCAGCATTGAATGTAATGAAATGCCAATTTTTGGGTGAGCCCTGGTGGCTTCCTGATCCTCTTCCTCCCTCCCAGGGCACTGGGCTAGTGTCTACATCTGCTCTAGAACCGATAGCCCAGACCCTGGCAGGCAGTGAGCTACTCCCCTCTTCCCATTAAACAAGTAGGGCAGGTTTGGCGAAGGAGCTCGTGCTAGTTCAGAGAGAATTTGATTACTGTATTTGTTTATACTGGTACTGTATAGTGGACTGTCACACACAATGACACACAACTCAAATATTATAATTATTAGTCATCATTATTATTATAATATTAATATTGTAATAATATATAACAATTACATTATAAAAATATATATACAGTAATTATTTTAATATTATAATAATATATACAGTTTTATATATCATAATATAATTATTGTTATATATTATTGCGATATTATAATAATAATAATAATAATAATAATAATGATATTATTACAATATTTGAGTTGAGTGTTGTTGTGTGTGGTAGTCCCCGGAGGACTCCCAGTCCTTCCCCCGGAGGTTCTGCAGGGCCCTCAGGGAGGCTATCAGCAGGTTATCAGCCTGCTGTAGGAATAGTACCAGGGGTGGCTCTTCAGGTCCTCGTCCTCGTGCACGAGCTCGTGCCTCTGGCGCCTTACAACCAGCTGCTACAGGTATACAGGTAGATGTGACTCAACAGCCTGAGACGGTAGCTCATCTAAGGGAAAGAAAACCCTGATATCAAACCTCCACTTCCTCGCAGCCATACACGCTTTTGAGACAGGCTTCAGGAGTCAACCTCGAAGAAAAATCCAGAGCTGGAGCCCTTAAGGCAGTTCGTTGTTGACTTCAACCTCATTCTGGCAGCTCCTGCGACGGCGCTGAAACCAAGTGTATTGGCGTTTGCCTTTCCTTTGGACAATTTCAGCGACATGGAAAGGGGGACCTGTTGCATGGGTAACAGCTTCTTCATATCGACCTACCCAGGCTTTGCGCCCTGGAGAGGACACTCCAGCCTCGGCAACCAGAGTGCAACTCCATATAGTCTCCCAAAACAACAGGACGCCTACTAGTTGTGGGAGTTCTTCGGGCAGGTTTTGAGGTTTCAGTCTCTTTTCAATCCAGCAGTGGTTTGTTTTGACTCGGTGACTTTGTGGTTGCCTTTCCCCAGTGAGGAGGTGAAAGGTCACTGCTCCCAGTGCCCCTGTGAGGAGGGGGGGTCTGGCTTTGGTCCCCGGCAGGCCTATAGAACTCCACGCCTGATGCAATCTAGTAAATGGTAACCATCTCAGCGTTTAGCTTCAGGGGAACCAATGGGGCTCACCAAGAAACTGGCATTTACATTCAATGCTGGGTTTTTTCTATTTGCATTCCAATTTCTTCCAGGCCCATGCTTCTGCAGCCAATACAAAGTGGAAAGTAGGTTTGTACCAGTGATGATACAGCCGTACAGCTGGTGTGGAGAACGCACTAGAATGTGTTATAGAGCTACTACTGTGATGATGTGTTGATGGGTGCAATCTTTATGACTCCCCACCCCCCATGTAAGTGGGATATGGGATATTAATAATACTAAAAACAATTAACAAATCAACTCACCTTTTCTAAAGTTTCCAGATCAAAACCTGTGACAATAGAAATGAAGAGTGGGTCGTGGCCTGTATCCAGAGTATTCAATTCACTTATCATTTGTGTTAGAAACTGAGGCTTCACACACAAGAAAATTACATCACACGTCTGCACAACTTCATCTGCAAAAAGTGAATCAATAACTAAATCATAATTAAAATGGGTTGGTACAAAATTTCATTATTAGATAGGTAAAATTAATCAAGCTTGAATACATATAAAGAAACAAGACCAGAGTTAGAATTAGATTTAAAGGTAGTGTAGCCACGGTTTGGAGGTTGTGGTCCCCCAAGTCATGACCCGAGGCAGAGCAGTCCTCCATACCCTCTACCCCTGAAGAAAAGGAAGAGTCCAAGGAAATGGCCAAAAAGGAGGAGGCCCTGCTGGTGGGACCCAGAAACCTCCGCAGGAGGAACCGGCTCAAATGCCTCTGTCCCCATCCCGAATGGAGCAGCCACCCAAGTAGCCCGAGTCTCATTACCAACTAAACCCTGCTTTGACTCCGAAACCCTCAGACATTTGGGAGCCGGAAACTGGAGGGGAAGGTGCATGAAGAACAACAGCGAAAGGACCAGGAAGCGCGGACTGAATGACTCTGGCATCTCATGAGTAGGCTGGAGGTGAAACACAACACAAGAAAGCTTACAGAACAGAGCAGAAGTAATATCCACCCCAAATGCAAGCAGAAGCGGCTCCGTCAGCTCCGCACGATATGAGGTGACAGTATTAGGTGTCAAATGATGGTCTTGAAAGTCAAGAAAGAAAGGACAGGACTACCCTGTCCAAAATAGAGGCCAACCTACGAAGAGAAAGAAAATGACAAAAATAGTGCCAGGAAACTTCATACTGTTGCCGAGATGAAACTCGCAGGTGGGACACCATCAACGAAGCCACCTGATCACCATACAAGTGGTGATAGACCCACGTCATAAAGACCAGACACGAAGAGAGGAGGAGAAGACCGAACCAGCCAGGAACCTGACCCGGAAAATCTGCTGTAAGAGGCGGAGCCATAGAAAACATTGCGGGTTTAGAGAACGAGCAAGCAGCGCCTGAAACTAAGGCTGGGTTGGCCACCAAGGAGCCAACAGGATTACTCTCCCCTGGTATGTCTCCAACTGAACCAGGACCCAGAGTAACAGCCGGAGCGGACGGAAAAGGTACAGGTAACCACACCTCGACCAGTCCTACCAACATGAAGAACCAAGCCCCGAGAATCCAGCAAACGAGTCACTCGAAGAGACCAGCCCCAAAGATCCAAGGACCAAAGAGAACCCACACAGTTCAGACAATGAACCACCGGAAAACAGTGTGAATGGAGCCTGATCGTCGAACCCCAACAATAGAGGTTCGATGGTAATGATAGCAGGTAATTACCTAAATTACCTGCTATCATGTAACATAACTATGAAATGATAGCAGGATATTTTCATGGGTCGAGGTAAACTATTACATCCTTATTTGCATCATACATGTAAAACCCACAAGCTAATTGTTTAAATCACCATCTGACAATAACCGCATTACCACGTGAATCAACACGTGACAATAACCCCTGTCGGTTAAGGTTTATTTCCTGTCCCTACTTATTATAAGAAGACTGAACTTAATATTTCGTCTCTGCCATAGGTCAACTTAAATACATGTACAATACTTACTATTATCATGGGTGGTCTTCACCCCCAAAGTGTGAAGCTTCAATAGATTGCGGTCAGAAGGTGCACTTGCAATTACATGTGTAGGAGCCACCAATCCTGAAAGCAAAATGTAGCCTAAAATATACACAGTTCGCTTGATAAGTTCAATAATAATAAATAAACAATAATAATAAATTCAATAATAATTTGACTGCAACATCATTTTAAAACTTAATTCCATCCTAGGGCTGAAATGCAGCCAAAAATCAACATTATAAAATTAACCTTCATTTATAACATTTCAAGTAAAAAAAAAACTGCTTTTTCTAGGTGTGCAATTAAAAAAAAAAATCCAGTGTTGAAAGTAATGCAACTTTTCTTTCTGGTAGAGCTCCAGTGGCTTCCTGAAACTATCTCATTGAAACTGACCCATGCTAATGGGTCACATTAGTTGTGGGAGTTCTGTTTGACCTACAGGGGATCCAAAGCCAGAGCTTGGTCCCTTCACAGAGGTAAAGGAAGCAAGTGACAATCCACCACCCTACCGGAAAAAGCATTTAGAAAGTCACAGAAGCTTAACAGACAACTGGAGGTTTCACGAAAAACAAATCCTTGAAACAGTCAAATAATTCTGCAAACAATTCACAAAGACCAATGTGTTCACTCAAACCTTTCACAAACTTGTGATAGCCGCCTGAGAATGAAAAAGAAATGTGTGAAATACTAAATTAATAGTTCCAAAGTGTGTTTGTGCAAAATTAGGTTTTCAGAGACTCAGACACAATGTCAATTCCAAAAAACATTGAGGTGTCCTGAGACTAGGTGGAAAAATTACTCAAGGGCTAGGAAAAATGAAACAGTTGGATCAGATGGAGTTTCACCTTAAGTGCTGGGAGAATATGCAACTGAGCTGAGCATTCCACTCCAATTAATATTCTAGACACCCATGTGCAGAGGAATCTTAGCAGATATATGGAAAAGGGCAAACATAGTTCCAATCTATAAAAATGGGGATTTGAGAGGAACCTTTAAATTATAGACCCGTATCATTAACAAGCGTGGTAGTCAAAACACTAGAAAAAATTGTTAAAACCAAATGGGTAAAACACCTGGAGAGTAATGACATAATAGCAGACAGACAGTATGGTTTTCAATCAGGAAGATCCTGTGTAACAAATCAACTTTGTTTTTATGATAAAGCCACAGGGATTCTACAGGAAAGAGATGGTTGGGTTGACTGTCTATCTGAACCTAAGAAAGGCTTTTGACAGAGTCCCACACAAGAGCCTGTTCTGGATACTGGATCATGCTGGAGGGGTGACGGAGACATTTGACATGGATGAAAAATTTTCTACCTGACAGACAGACAAGGGTGGTAATCAAAGGCAATGCATCTGACTGGAGGAATGTTACTAGCCGAGTACCACTGGGTTCGTTTTCGGACCAGTAACGTTCATCATCTACATAAAAGAATTTACCAGAAGGAATACAGTATTATATGAACATGTTTGCAGATAATGCTAAGATACTGGGGAAGATAGGAGATGAACAATTGTTATGTCCTTCAAATTGATCTAGATAAAATATGTGCTTAGAGCATCATGTGGCAAATGGAGTTGAATGTGAATAAATGCCATGTTATGGAAAGTGGAATTGGAGAAAATAAACTACACACAACTTACAAATTAAGTGGAATGGAATTACAAAACTCTAATAAAGAACGAGACCTAGGAGTGGTTTTGGATAGTATGCTGTTGCCAGTGGAACATGACGAACAATGTGAGAGGAGCATATGGATCGCTTTCCACCTTCAGACTTGCTTTTAACTATATGGATGGTGAAATGCTAAAGAAACTGTCCATGAATTTCGTGAGACCAAAATTCGAATATGCAGCAGTTGTATGATGCCCATATCTCGAGAAGAACATAAATAAACTGGAAAAGGTGCAATGGCATGCTACAAAGTGACTTGTGGAACTGAAAAACAAGAGTTACAAGGAGAGACTGAAGGTGTTAAACATGCCAAAACTAGAAGATAGAAGAAAAAGAAGTGATATGATCACAATTTATAAAATACTAACAAGAATCGACTAAACCGACAGAGGAATTCCTGAAACCAGCAACTTAACGAACAAGAGGACACATACACAGAAAAAGGGGCCTTGCGGCTGAGTGGACAGGGCTCTGGGGTCGTAGTCCTAAGGACTCAGGTTCGATTCCTGGCGGAGGCAGAAACAAATGGGCATAGTTTCTTTCACCCTGGTGCCCCCTGTTTTCCTAGCACTAAATAGGTACCTACGAATTAGACAGCTGCTACAGGCTGCTTCCTGGGGATGTGTGTGTGTGTGTGTGTGTGTGTGTGTGTGTGTGTGTGTGTGTGTGTGTGTGTGTGTGTGTGTGTGTGTGTGTGTGTGTGTGTGTGTGTGTGTGTGTGTGTGTGTGTGTGTGTGTGTGTGTGTGTGTGTGTGTGTGTGTGTGTGTGTGTGTGTGTGTGTGTGTGTGTGTGTGTGTGTGTGTGTGTGTGTGTGTGTGTGTGTGTGTGTGTGTGTGTGTGTGTGTGTGTGTGTGTGTGTGTGTGTGTGTGTGTGTGTGTGTGTGTGTGTGTGTGTGTGTGTGTGTGTGTGTGTGTGTGTGTGTGTGTGTGTGTGTGTGTGTGTGTGTGTGTGTGTGTGTGTGTGTGTGTGTGTGTGTGTGTGTGTGTGTGTGTGTGTGTGTGTGTGTGTGTGTGTGTGTGTGTGTGTGTGTGTGTGTGTGTGTGTGTGTGTGTGTGTGTGTGTGTGTGTGTGTGTGTGTGTGTGTGTGTGTGTGTGTGTGTGTGTGTGTGTGTGTGTGTGTGTGTGTGTGTGTGTGTGTGTGTGTGTGTGTGTGTGTGTGTGTGGTGTGTGTGTGTGTGTGTGTGTGTGTGTGTGTGTGTGTGTGTGTGTGTGTGTGTGTGTGTGTGTGTGTGTGTGTGTGTGTGTGTGTGTGTGTGTGTGTGTGTGTGTGTGTGTGTGTGTGTGTGTGTGTGTGTAATTACCTAAGTGTAGTAACAGGATGAGAGCTACGCTCGTGGTGTCCCGTCTTCCCAGCACTCTTTGTCATATAACGCTTTGAAACTACTGACGGTCTTGGCCTCCACCACCTTCTCACTTAACTTGTTCCAACCGTCTACCACTCTATTTGCGAAGGTGAATTTTCTTATATTTCTTCGGCATCTGTGTTTAGCTAGTTTAAATCTATGACCTCTTGTTCTTGAAATTCCAGGTCTCAGGAAGTCTTCCCTGTCGATTTTATCAATTCCTGTTACTATTTTGTATGTAGTGATCATATCACCTCTTTTTCTTCTGTCTTCTAGTTTTGGCATATTTAATGCTTCTAACCTCTCCTCATAGCTCTTGCCCTTCAGTTCTGGGAGCCACTTAGTAGCATGTCTTTGCACCTTTTCCAGTTTGTTGATGTGCTTCTTAAGATATGGGCACCACACAACAGCTGCATATTCTAGCTTTGGCCTAACAAAAGTCATGAACAATTTCTTTAGTATATCGCCATCCATGTATTTAAATGCAATTCTGAAGTTAGAAAGCATAGCATAGGCTCCTTGCACAATATTCTTTATGTGGTCCTCAGGTGATAGTTTTCTATCTAGAACCACTCCTAGATCTCTTTCTTTATCAGAATTCTTTAAAGATTTCTCACATAATATATAGGTTGTGTGGGGTCTATGTTCTCCTATTCCACATTCCATAACATGACATTTATTAACATTAAATTCCATTTGCCAAGTGGTGCTCCATATACTTATTTTGTCCAGGTCTTTTTGAAGGGCATGACAGTCATCTAAATTTCTTATCCTTCCTATTATCTTAGCATCATCAGCAAACATGTTCATATAATTCTGTATACCAACTGGTAGATCATTTATGTACACAATAAACATCACTGGTGCAAGAACTGAACCCTGTGGTACTCCACTTGTGACATTTCTCCATTCTGATACATTGCCTCTGATTACTGCCCTCATTTTTCTATCAGTCAGAAAATTTTTCATCCATGATAGAAGCTTACCTGTCACCCCTCCAATATTTTCCAGTTTCCAGAACAACCTCTTATGTGGAACTCTGTCGAAAGCCTTTTTTAGGTCCAGATAGATGCAGTCAACCCAACCATCTCTTTCCTGTAATATCTCTGTGGCTCGATCATAGAAACTGAGTAAATTCGATACACAGGATCGTCCAGATCGAAAACCATACTGTCTGTCTGATATTATATCATTTCTCTCTAGGTGTTCTACCCATTTAGTTTTGATTAGTTTTTCCAATACTTTCACTATTACACTTGTCAATGATACAGGTCTATAATTGAGGGGGTCTTCCCTGCTGCCACTTTTGTAGATTGGAACTATGTTAGCCTGTTTCCACCCGTCTGCTACGATTCCTGTACACAGGGATGCCTGAAAGATCAGGTGAAGTGGAATGCTGAGCTCAGATGCACATTCTCTCAGAACCCATGGTGAAACGCCATCTGGGCCAGCTGCTTTGTTCTTACCGAGCTCCTTGAGCATTTTTTCCACTTCGTCTCTAGACACCTCTATGTGTTCTATGTTGTTCTCTGGAATTCTTATTGTATCTGGTTCCCTAAAGATTTCATTTTGTACAAACACACTTTGGAACTTTTCGTTTAGTGTTTCACACATTTCCTTTTCATCTTCCGTGAATCTATTTCCTATTTTCAACCTCTGAATATTATCCTTTACCTGCAATTTGTTGTTTATGAATTTATAGAATAGACCTGGTTCTGTTTTACATTTGTCCGCAATCCCTTTTTCAAAATTTCTTTCTGCCTCTCTCCTCACTGCCGTGTAGTTGTTTCTCGCATCTTTGTATCGCTGGTATGTTTGGGGGTTCGGCCTCTTCCTGTATTGATTCCATTTTTGTGTCTTTCGGTCTCTAGCCCTCTCGCAATTTCTATTGAACCAATCCTGTTTCCTAGTTCTGCATCTCTGTTTTGGTATAAATTTTTTTGTGCCTTTATCATATATTTCACAAAACTTGACATACATCTCATTCACTTCCTTGCCTAGCATCAAGTCTGTCCAATTATACTCACTAAAAAAATTTCTAAGGTCACCATAATGTCCTCTCCTGAAGTCTGGTTTTTCAACTGCTTCAACCTCCTTATTTTCTTCCAGCTTATAACGCATTGCATACTTTATTCCCAAAAAGACATGGTCACTTTTACCCAAGGGAGGAAGGTACTGAATGTCAAATATCTCTTCCTCCTTCCTGGTAAATATCAAATCTAGCATGGAGGGAACGTCCCCTTCCCTCATCCTCGTAGCTTGTTTAACATGTTGATACAAGAATGTTTCCAGGATGAGGTCTACAAATTTACAGGTCCAAAAATCTTCTGTTTTAGCTTCATATGCTTCCCAGTCTATGGATTTCAAGTTGAAGTCACCGACTATCAACAGTCGTGATCTATCGTTATCCGCTCTCGCTATAATCTCTCTCATTATTGTTATAAGACCTTCACGTTTACTATCTAGCTCCTCCTTTGACCATGTGCTGCTTGGCGGTGGACTATATGCATTTATCATCATTAGTTTATCATCCTCATAGCAGATCTCTAGTGCTATTATGTCAACTTCTTGTGGATTGGCAGTCATTATTTCCTTCACCTTTAGGTGTTCTTTTACCAGCACAGCAACGCCACCGCCTTTCCTAATTTTTCTGTCCCGTCTCCAAATTGAGTAGCCCCTCGGGAATATGACCTCATTTAAAATTACATCTTCAAGTTTTGTCTCCGTGAGTGCAACAATGTCTGGTGTCTGCAGCTGTATTACATCACTTAACTCCAGTATCTTCGATCTCACTCCATCTATGTTGGTGTATGCAATCTTCAGGAACTTGTTCCCCCTCTCCTTATTCTTCACTCCCCCTCTCTCTATTGATTTTGTTGGTTTGCCTTTATGTACCACTTTACTGGTTTGCCTACCCCTATCACTTTGTAGAAAAAAGAATTTATTTCTTCTTCATTCCTGCTCTCATTTAAATGTTTTGCCTCGGCGAGGTTCAGTTTCAGCTTCTCTCTATCTTCTCTCTCTCTCTCTCTCTGTGTGTGTGTGTGTGTGTGTGTGTGTGTGTGTGTGTGTGTGTGTGTGTGTGTGTGTGTGTGTGTGTGTGTGTGTGTGTGTGTGTGTGTGTGTGTGTGTGTGTGTGTGTGTGTGTGTGTGTGTGTGTGTGTGTGTGTGTGTGTGTGTGTGTGTGTGTGTGTGTGTGTGTGTGTGTGTGTGTGTGTGTGTGTGTGTGTGTGTGTGTGTGTGTGTGTGTGTGTGTGTGTGTGTGTGTGTGTGTGTGTGTGTGTGTGTGTGTGTGTGTGTGTGTGTGTGTGTGTGTGTGTGTGTGTGTGTGTGTGTGTGTGTGTGTGTGTGTGTGTGTGTGTGTGTGTGTGTGTGTGTGTGTGTGTGTGTGTGTGTGTGTGTGTGTGTGTGTGTGTGTGTGTGTGTGTGTGTGTGTGTGTGTGTGTGTGTGTGTGTGTGTGTGTGTGTGTGTGTGTGTGTGTGTGTGTGTGTGTGTGTGTGTGTGTGTGTGTGTGTGTGTGTGTGTGTGTGTGTGTGTGTGTGTGTGTGTGTGTGTGTGTGTGTGTGTGTGTGTGTGTGTGTGTGTGTGTGTGTGTGTGTGTGTGTGTGTGTGTGTGTGTGTGTGTGTGTGTGTGTGTGTGTGTGTGTGTGTGTGTGTGTGTGTGTGTGTGTGTGTGTGTGTGTGTGTGTGTGTGTGTGTGTGTGTGTGTGTGTGTGTGTGTGTGTGTGTGTGTGTGTGTGTGTGTGTGTGTGTGTGTGTGTGTGTGTGTGTGTGTGTGTGTGTGTGTGTGTGTGTGTGTGTGTGTGTGTGTGTGTGTGTGTGTGTGTGTGTGTGTGTGTGTGTGTGTGTGTGTGTGTGTGTGTGTGTGTGTGTTAGAAATATATGTAGTAGAAATAATAGAGGGAAAATAAACTAGTTAGAAAGATGGGGGACCAAGAGCTAATAGCTCGATTCTGCAGATACAAATAGAAAACAGATTCCAGCTAAAGAAACAAAAGTGTCCAAAAAAATATTTGAAAGTTTTCTTTTGCAATCAAGAGGGGTAGATGGTTGGAACAAGCTAAGTAAGAAGGGGAACCAAAACCATCAATAGTTTCAAAGCATTATACAACAGAGTACTGGTAAGTTGGGACACCATGAGCGTAGTTCTAATCCTGTCACTACACTTAGATAATTACACACATACACACACACATACCTTACCTTTTTTAATAAATGTATTCAGAAGGGCTTGAGCCATATTTCCACATCCTACAAACCCAAGATTTGCAGGATTCACACCTTCATTGTCAAACACTGCAGAGGCTTCATTACCAGTTTCAACCTCATCTTCTTTTACAACTGCAATAAATGTGAAACATCACAGAATGTTTTAAAAATTATAGTGCATATGCCTAACATTGCACAAATTAAAAACATTTAGGATAATATATAAACCGTACGGGTGGTCAGAGTGGGTGGGTAGCAGGGCAGTCATGAGACAGTGGGTGGGCAGATGAGTAGCAGGACGGGTGGTCAGAGTGGGTGGGTGGGTAGCAGTGGGCGGTGGCATGAGCGGACCAGTTTCCGGCTAGGACTAACACAGGAGCTTGTCTCCCCCGGTCCCTCCCCAAGACCCCCTCTTCCCGCACACCAGTCCCTCCCTTACTACCTCTATCTCCTCATCCCCCACACCGGACCCCCCCCCCCTCAGCTGTACCTCTTCCAACCATATGGACAATATTAATACTGTGGCCTTCCTTGCTACCAGCTGATAGAATGGGAGGCAGACTCCGAGTGCCTGACATTAAACTTATTGTTTGCTGACTAACTGGATGCAACTGTGAAAGCCTGACTGACTGTGAATGCCTGATTGACTGTGAATGCCTGATTGACTGTGAATGCGTGACTGACTGTAAATGCCTAACTGGTTGCTACCACAACAGTGAATGCTCGACTGCCTTTGGTTATGACTGCCTGTGACTGGTCTTGACTGTGAATGCTTGATTTACTTGTGACTAACTGACTGGTTCTGACTGGGTGCCACATAACAGAGGCAGTGAAATGTGCAAAAGGAAAATCTGTGCTGCAGATACGAAAGTGTTTGAGGCGGTCCGTCTAATTACCACAAGCTACCACAAGCTTCACTAAGCTTCCTGGCAATAAGTTAGTAATGAATAAATATGATATATTTACTCATTATAATGTTGGTGCTGAATGTACAACACAAAAAAAACAATTTTAATCTGAAAAAGTATCTTTTTATAAAGAAATTAGACGAAAATAAGCAGCTGGTGATGCCAAATCAAGTCGACGATCCAAGCGTCAGTTAGGTTAGGTTAGGTCAACCTAACCTAACATATCATATTTATTCATTACTAATGTATTGCCAGGAAGCTTTGTGAAGCTTGTGTAGCTTGTGGTACCTTGTGGTAATCAGACGGAGCCGTTTGAGGGGAGCTTGGGATGGCCTCACCACCTCCCTCCCTCCCTTCCCACTGTCTCCCATACGCTAACATGAGTCCACAGTAAAGGTAAAGTGCAATTAAGTGTTCAGTTATTTTATGTATTGTTTATATTTATACCTGATTGTTTTTTGTGTATGAAAAATATGAATTCTTTATAAAATGTATTTTTAAGTTAATATTTTTGGGTTTGTGGAACTGATTAATTCACTTTATTATTTCTTATAGGAAAATTTGTTTTGAGTTACGAATTTTTGAGTTACGACCCATCTCTGGGAACAGCTTAAATTCATAAGTGGATGTACCACCGTATTAGAAAACGTTTGGAGTTCAAGTGACCTGTTGTGAGCAATGCATAATAAAAATAATTTATTTACAAGAAGGTACAATGGGCTGGTGAGATTACATTAGTGATATTTTCACATTCCTGCAAAGTCACTAACACAAATAGCGTTTCAGGAAAGTCCTTAATGTTGGTTAGAAGAAATGCGAGGCAATAGTCTGTGGTCGAATACAACTTTCATCATACACAAGACGATTTGCCAACATATTTTGAAATCTACCTAACCTAACCTAGCTCAACCCAACCCAACCTAATCCAACCCAACCCCAACCTAACCTCAACTAAAACCTAACCTAACCTAAACCCCAACCTAACCTAACCTCAACCCCAACCTAACCTTACCTCAACCCTAACCCAACTTAACCTCAACCCCAACCCACCCTTAACCTCAAATAACCCCAAGCCTAACCTAACCCCAACCTAACCTAACCCCAACCTAACCTTACCTCAACCCTAACCCAACTTAACCTCAATCCCAACCCAACCTTAAACTCAACTAACCCCAAGCCTAACCTAACCTTAACCCCAACCTAACCTAACCTCAACCCAACCTTAACCTCAACTAACCCCAAGCCTAACCTAACCCCAACCTAACCTAACCCCAACCTACCCTAACCTAACTCCAAGCTAACCTAACCCCCAACCTAACCTAACCTCAACCTCAACCCCAACCTAACCTCAACCCCAACCTAACCTCAAACCCAACCTAACCTCAACCCCAACCTAACCTCAACCTAACCTAACCCCAACCTAACCCAACTGAGCCCAATACAGCCTAACCTAAGCGAATATAGCCTAGCATAACAATACATATGGTTTTAACAAAGCGAAAATGATTTTTGTCGAATCGTCTTATGTCCAAAACGACCATACCCCCAGTGGTCCCATCAGTGATGGGACTTGTACACTACATATTGGTACAATCCACTACATTGTTAAAAAAGTACAGTACTATCATTTCAGGAGGATGAGTCGATATATTGCACCTACAAAGAAAGAATTATTGCATTAAATTTGGACAAAAATATGTTGCAAGTCAATCACAACTCAATAATCACGAGAAGGACACACAACCTTCTCGGAAACAACAGTGACAAAGATATCCATTACTAGCTTACTGTCAGCATGTTTGGGTCTGGTGTCATCGTTGGTGAGGCCCATGATGACTTGAACCCTGGCAGAGAGTTGCTGTGGCACTGGTGACCGCCTAGAGTGTTGCTGTGGCACTGGTGACCGTCCAGAGTGTTGCTGTGGCACTGGTGACCGTCCAGAGTGTTGCTGTGGCACTGGTGACCGCCCAGTGTTGCTGTGGCACTGGTGACCGCCCAGTGTTGCTGTGGCACTGGTGACCGTCCAGAGTGTTGCTGTGGCACTGGTGACCGTCCAGAGTGTTGCTGTGGCACTGGTGACCGTCCAGAGTGTTGCTGTTGCACTGGTGACCGTCCAGAGTGTTGCTGTGGCACTGGTGACCGTCCAGAGTGTTGCTGTGGCACTGGTGACCGCCCAGAGTGTTGCTGTGGCACTGGTGACCGCCCAGAGTGTTGCTGTGGCACTGGTGACCGCCCAGAGTGTTGCTGTGGCACTGGTGACCGTCCAGAGTGTTGCTGTGGCACTGGTGACCGCCCAGAGTGTTGCTGTGGCACTGGTGACCGTCCAGAGTGTTGCTGTGGCACTGGTGACCGCCCAGAGTGTTGCTGTGGCACTGGGTTTGGTCCTTCAAAGGACTGGCATTGATTTGCTTCTTAGAACGGGCGGGATTTTTCAAGGCTTGATATTTTCCTTTAAACTGGGTTTTGTAGTAGTCTCAGTGTGTTCTGGTGTGGTCACCTGGATCACTAGGAGAGGAAAGCGCTCGTGTCACTTATATAGAAAGGTTGTCACTGTTATTGATAATGATAATGACCGATTATTCAACAACAGTTGCACAGGCGCCGCTGTGTGGCCGGTCCTACAGTCATGTAAACTGTGTCTTGAGACAATTACATTTGCCTTAATAAGGCAAAACCTTTGGCAAGTCGCCGGCTTCCTGTCTTCGGCCCTCGGGTAAATTCAGGTAAATAACATAAACTGCCATCCAGCATCCAGAGCGAGATGTAACACCTCCAACTTGGCAACACTCGCCCAATACTTGAAGTGCAGCCGGAGCTAACTTGTGATAAAGTAGCCCACTACTACACAGCGAGTCATGCGTTCTTGTTATAGATTCAGCTACTCGGAACAAGTTCCAAGTAGCACGGGCTATGGTGAGCCCGTAGTGGACTTACCTGGCACAGGAGCGAGGCAAGTAGCACGGGCTATGGTGAGCCCGTAGTGGACTTACCTGGCACAGGAGCGGGGCAAGTAGCACGGGCTATGGTGAGCCCGTAGTGGACTTACCTGGCACAGGAGCGGTGATGCCTGTGAGTGATGCGCCTCTCACAGTAATACATTTCAATATATAAGAATACACTACACGATTTTAATGGCTGTATTAATACTACTACATGTATTTATTATAAAAAAACGATAATATAGGAACTTACTTGAAGGAAATATTATCTCCTGATGAATGAATCTGGACATATTATGTGTGTGCTTTAGTGAACCATCGTGTTTCTTTAAGTCACTTTTATGAGCTCTTAACTGGGTGCGACAAGCTTTACAATAAGCCTTATTTCCGTCCTCATTCACTTCAGCCAACCATTTTCCAAACTGGGGATTGGTTAGCCAGGATGTCTGAAATGTTTTTGTGTATTTGTTCCACTTGCCCATCTTTAGTTGTGTATATTAACACAGACAAGACAATATTAGACAGTAGTACAAGCCGCCGCCACACAGTCTCGGGCGCCCAGCCACACTAGGCGCAGCCTCCCCACCTTCCGCTACTTAACAAGCCAATTCTGCTACTTTTCAAAGTTGAGCGCTGCTAAACTTTCAATTATGCTACTTGCGTCTTATTTTGGGCTACTCTTAAAACTGGGTAAAATATGCTGGGTTTATTATTTATTTATATCGTAATATAATTACCTTTTGAAGACACGTATAAAGATAACTGTTTCTAGCGTCATATAATTTCTTTTTTAAATTTTCTGCATTCCTATTTCTGCATGCATTCCTAATAAATTCCCTGTAATCTACCTCACTCCTCTATTGTCAACCCATGTCTGTTATTTTCTTTTTTTTTTTTTTTTTAATCAACACTGTTTGTCAACCTATTGTATTTGTGCTGCTTTTTCAGTCATGTTCCCCCTTTTTTTATCTTTATTTGTATTTGTTCTCAACACTTTTTATTCTTTATGCTCAATTAGTATTAAGTTCTAGATATTTATGTTTTTCTTGCCCGAAACGCATTGCGTAATAGTGGCTTTAGGCATTGTATGTACTAGCTCTATCTATATATCAATCCATTAATGTAACATCACTTGTATGTATATACCTTACCTGAATAAACATCTGAATCTGAATCTGAATCTGAATCTATATTTTTTGAGGATAGGGTGACCTATACTCGCGCTCGGGGTAATTTGTTATTTATAATTAATCTAAGTAAATTGATTAGTAAGCAAATTATACACCGTAAAATATATAATATCCTACACTAGCAAAATCAGGGTAGAGCACAAGAATATCTTCTAATATTCATGATTGCATGAATAAAAGTAGTTATAGAGCTTTATAAGTATTTCATAACATTTGGTCTGAAATCAATGATAACAGAGCAATGACAGGTATAGTATTGGAGAGTGAGTGTGTTCTAGCTCTTGTAGCTAGAGATACTAGCTACATCTATAAATCGATCAAATTATGTAAAATCTCTTGTATGTATGTACCTTACCTGAATAAACATTTTATTTTATTTATATTTATTTATTTATTTATTTGTACACAAAGTTTACGATTGGAAGGTTCACCATTGGGGGATTCATTACCTGCCATATTTATTGATATCCCTGCCTAGTTCTGGCAACTAAACTATCACACTGTCTAGTGGATACTTTGTGCTGTCCGTATACACAATTCTCGGTTCTAAACCCATCATAGCACTTTATACTCATGCTTTCTAACCTTTGAGTGACTGATTGTAATGTACACATCAGTGTTGCCAGATTGGGCTAAAAGTAGCGAATTGGGCTACTTTTGGCAACCCGCGCTCCTGAATGTTCAACCTCGCTACTTGCGACATTTTGGGGCAAAGTTTAATATAAGTTTGGCTAATTTGTGCGACTGATGTTTAAAATTCAATTGTATGTAAATCACAGCCGCATCCAACAGCCTGGTTGACTTTTTTGTTTATTCTACCGTTGTAAATTGTTTATTTCAGGAAATTAGGGAAGACAGAAGAGCAGTTACTGACACTCAGAGGCCAGAAAGCTCGAGTATAAAGAGCTATGACATGTTTAGAACCGAGAATTATATGCACGGGCAGTATAAGACATCCACTAGACAGTGTGACATTGTAATTGCCAGAATTAGGCTGGGATATCGATATCTATGGCAGGTGGCTGCAGGTAATGAGTCCCCCAAATGGTGAACATTCCAGTTGTAAACTATGTGAACAAGAGCTGGGACATACTCTCAACACTATATCTGTGATTGTCTGAAGTGACTTCAGACCAAATGGTATGAGGTACTTTGAGCTCTGTAATTACTTCATACACTCGGGAATATTGGAAGATATTCTTGTGCTGTACTCAGATTTTGCCAATGGAGGCTAATAGATCAGCCTTACATTTCATGTTCTCTCCTGAGTCCATGTATGACTGGCCGCCCTGTAAGGTGGGGATGTTGGACGAGCTTGTAGCTGGTTTTTGGTCTACATTGTGTGGTCCTTCATACAGAATAGGGAAGCAGCACATTGCTGTGTGTACCTAAGCTTGTTAAAAAAGAAAAGACATTGTTTGAGTTTTGTAGAAACTGGTAAAAGTAATTATAATATAATGTTTCTATGATTCAGTGCTTAGCTCTTGCGAAAATCGTGAAGCTGTTTAGTCAGTTTATTTGTTCTTTGTATTGAGGCAGGTACATTCTCCCATGATTCCATGTAATGATTAATCATCCTGTGAGATGGGAATATTAGATGAATTTTATGTTAATTTTTTTTTATCTACACTGTGTAATCATTCATATAGAATAGGGTAGCAGCTTCGTGAATCAATTAACTGCTTCGTGTGGACCAGTCGTAGTTTTACGTAAACTGGTTGTAACTTAATTTTTCTCTACTACACAAACTGGAAAATTCATTTATTTTACACCGGCGGCACTCAGTGTAAACAAACATTTCTGCTGGTAAGGCTCGTCACGGAGTCCATCATACTAGGTATATATGCATTCTCTGCTTGAAATTTGTAGTAAATATATCTTTATTGATATTATAATCAGTTTTATAATAGCAAGATATTATTCCAGTAGTTGTTAAGTAAATAAATACTGGTGAACATGAAATATTAGAGTAGGTGATGATCCAGGCTGGTGGGAGCATTTACTATCACCAAATTCTCATGTTCACCTAACAAAATAAGTATAGCGTGGGGTGTACCTTAGCTATACATATCCATTTGTATTTTTTTTGTTTGTTTTTATTTTGATATTAAATCTGGGATAGACTTGAAAGAAAAATATGCAGCAAAAATGATGTTAGGTAAGGTTTTTTCTAGTGAAAAGGGGGAAAGCAGGGGAGAGTGGACATTGGGGAAGGTTAAGGGGCAGATGGAAGAAGGGTGGAATGTGGGTGGTGGGAGGATAGACACTCCTGGGCACCACAGTCTAAACCCCCCCCCCCATATGTATGTATGTGTAACATATATAATATATACATTATATAATGATATATATATATATATATCAATGATATATATATATATATATATATATATATATATATATATATATATATATATATATATATATATATATATATATATATAATATGTTGTTAAATATGACCGAAAAGGTAAGATTAATAATTCTAACATGAATTTTCTCAATATTTCTTATGTTTCTTTTCACTGTCGATGGTAATTGAAAAATCAATTCTCCATGGGACCCCATGGATGGAGTCGCCATGGGTTCTCCCCCTAGGTGTCCTGTTTACGAATTTCTACATGGGTACCATCGAGCAGAAGGTCTTAGTTGACATGGACTTCAAACCTGCCATATACTGCAGGTATGTTGAAGACATTTTTACACAGGTACCTGATGTCAGGAGCTGAAGGAGGCATTTGAGCGGAATTTTGTGTTGAGTTTCACTTACGAGATGGAGAAGGATGGGAAGCTGCCTTTTCTAGATGTAACAGTCATGGAAAGAAGCGGAGGCTTCCACACTGTAGTCTACACTAAGGAAACAAACATAGGAATGTGCCTCACTGCCAATAGTGACTGCCCAGACAGGTAAAAGAGGAGTGTTGTCAGCGCTTACGTCGACCGTGCTCTCAGCCACAGCTCAGGATGGAAGCAAGTCGATGAACTCTGTAGGGTAAGGCAAGTCCTAGTCAACAATGGCTTCTCTAATGGTTTTGTTGAAGACATCATAAAAGAAAGGTGAAACGCCATGCAACCTCTGAAGAGTCAACTAACACAACAAATGTACCCCCTATTAGACTATTTTACAGGAACTTCTTTTCGACATCTCATAAAACAGAGGAAAGGGTCTTGAAAGATATTGTTGATAGGAACGTTATTCCTACAGACAAAAATCAGAAAATACAATTGACGATTTATTATAAAACCAAAAAAACAGCCAACCTACTCATGAAAAACTCTCTAGACACAAAGCAGAGTGCCTTAAAGGAAACCAATGTCATTTAGGCCTCCAAATGCCCACTTGGGGACTGTAAGCCCCAAAGAACTCAGTATATAGGCAAGACAACAACATCTCTTTCCAGGCGATTAACAATGCATAAACAACAGGGCTCCATAAAGGAACATATAATCTCTTCTCACAACCAGACCATCACCAGAGAAATCTTAACAAACAACACAGAAATAATTGAAAAATTAACTCTCCAAAGTTCAGATTTAGATCTTAGATTGTTTTATTCAGGTAAAGGTGATATGACAAATGTTTTTGGATGATAAAACACAAACCCATTGGTAATAATGGGGTAAAGATAATTTTACATAGTCAGAGTTATTGCGTATACATAATGTTGGATTTAAAGATAGAGATAGTACATACAATACCTAAAGCCACTAGTACGCATAGCGTTTCGGGCAAGGTGAAGGGAAAAAACACTTAGACTAAAACTTAATAGTAATTGAGCTTAAAGTATAAATTGTGTTGAAAAAAATAAAAAAAATAAAATAAGGGGGGGGGGAACAAGGC